GCATCTGGCCACCTGCCAGTAGCAGTAGCAGCAGCAGTAGCGCGGGCAGGGCAGGCGCGGCAGGCAGGCAGGCAAGCAGGCAGGCAAGCAGGCCGGCAGGCAGGCAGGCAGGCAGGCAGGCAGGCAGGCAGGCAGGCAGGCAGGCAGGCAGGCAGGCAGGCAGGCAGGCAGGTAGGCAGGCAGGCAGGCAGGCAGGCAGGCAGTCAGACAGGCAGGCCGGCAGGCAGGCAGGCAGGCAGACAGGCAGGCCGTCAGGCAGGCAGGCAGGCGCTCACCAAAGGCTGGGAGAGCAGGCGCTCACCGGGCGAGCAGGGCCGGCGCTCAACGGGCGGCGGCCGAGTAGGCGCACGACAGCGGCGGCGTCGGGGCCGCAACACCGGCTGCAGAGCAGGGCCGAAGCAGCTGCAGGGCGGGGCCGCTTCAGCGGCAGTAGCAGGGTGGGGCCGCGTCAGCGGCAGGTCGGGGCCGTGGCAGCTGCAGGGCGGGGCCGCATCAGCGGCAGGTCGGGGCCGTGGTAGCTGCAGGGCGGGGCCGCATCAGCGGCAGATCGGTGCCGAGGCAGAGGGCCGCGCGCGGCTCGGCGCGGGCTGCGCTGACAGCGCGTTCAGCTGCTGCAGGCCGCGCGCGGCCGCGCTAGGCAGTAGCGGGCCGCGCGCGGCTCGGCGCGGGCTGTTGCGGGCCGCGCGCGGGCCGCGCGAGGCAGTAGCAGGCCGCGCGCGGCTCGGCGCGGGCTGCTGCGGGCCGCGCGCGGGCCTCGCGAGGCCGTAGCAGGCCGCGCGCGGCTCGACGCGGGCTGCGTGGGCTCGGCGCGGGCTGCGCGCGGCAGCTGCGGGCTGCGCGCGGCTGCAGCGGGCTGCGCGGGCCTGACGGGCGTGTAGGGGCGGCGCGCGGGCCTTACGGGCCTCTAGGGGCGGCGCGTGGGCCTTACGGGCCTCTAGGGGCAGCGCGCTGGCCTAAGGCAGCAGGAGGCAGCGCTAGGGCTGCTGGACGGCGCGCATAGTGCAGCACGTCACAAGGCAAGGCAAGGCAGGCAGGTACGTGGGGTAGCGCGGTAACCGCAGCGGTAGGTGGGCCCGAAAAAAACGGTCCTACGGACCTTAGTGCTCTGAAACCATGTCAGAATCTAGCAGCAGGAATGGTTGAACTAGCAGCATGCAGGAGTACAAGTAGTAAACCCTAATTTGGGTTGTACCCCATATGGGCTACCCCACTACAGCCTAGACAATATGCAGCATATGTTTGACAGGTGTGGTGTAGGGTGCATTCAAACATTGAACACAAATTGCATGCTGGAGTATGAGAGCCCGTTTAACAACTGAAAATAAAATGAAGGGTGGGGGGAACGTAGAAGGGGGTATGACAATCTAGAAGGAGTATCAGCAGAGGAGGAAAAGAAACAAATAAGATGGACAATCTAGAAGCGCTACACTGATGTACGGTACATGTTTCGCGATCAAATTCGCAAAACTGGTGTGGAAAACATCAGGGACGTCCCCATTGCTCTGCAAGGGGAAGACCGTGGTGTAACGCGTGTAGTCGTCGACGACCAGCAGGAAGTACCGCTCGCGGCCCTGTCCTTGGACGCGGGCTGGGCCCCACACGTCCAGGTGGAGCGTCTGCAGTGGAGCCTCTGTGGGAGGAAACGAGGAGGAGTGAGGAGCGGCGCGCTGCCGCCCCTCGACGCAAGGAATGCAGGGCGGCGCAGGCGAGGGAGGGAGGGCAGGCAGAGACCTGGGAAGACCAGAGACCAGGGAGCGAGAGTGCATGCTACGCAGGCGAGGCAAGGAGGGGTGACCAAGGCGGTGGTGCCACAGGAGAGTGTCGTGCGACAAAGCGCGACACTCGCAGGGGGCCGCCAGCTGACCAGACACAGACGCAGACGCAGCTACCTGAGGGGACTCAGTGGTGAGTGTGTACAGACTCGAGCCAGGCGCACGGGTAAACGTGGCCAGGTGTCGGCCCGTCCGAGCACACGTACAGCGGGTCACTCGCTGACTCGCAGGAGTGAACTGGTGAACCCCTCCATCCTGGAGGTCAGCTCCCGCCACCAAGTTCGTAGAGAACGAGGGGAGGTAAAGACCTGACAGGAAGCCAGACGGGACGGCCGGACACGGCAGAACCGTGGAGTAGTGGGCAAGGACTGGGCCCCCGGAGGGGTCCGCCAGGGAGACTGGAACTGGCCGACTGAGCGGCGTGAGTGTGGTGCAGTCGCGAAAGAAGGAGCGGGAAGCTCCTGAGTCAAGGGTGAAGGTGTGCGAGACCGCAGAGGGCGCAGTACCAGAGAGAGCAGACTCACCAGCACCTGAAGCCACGGCCTCACCAGCACCTAGAGCAGAAGACGTACTAGCACCGAGAGCAGCAGCCTCACCAGCACCTAGAGCAGGAGACGCACTAGCACCTAGAGCAGCAGCCTCACCAGCACCGAGAGCAGCAGGCTCTATACCAGGGTCAGGCGGTACGCACAGGTAACAGGCACGGTCAGCACTAGTAGGCAATGCATACATGGCAGTGAGAATAGCATCATAGTCAAGCGCAAAGATATCTACCCTCTGTCCATGCAGCTCCAGCCAGGTGGGGAGCTCAGCCTCGTCGCCAAACACTGTGCGCCAGTCGTCGCTCAGACGGGCGAAGCAGCGGGACTGTGTGTGACCAAGCGTCCCACAAGGCTGACCAGTCCTAGCACCTGTGCGAATGACGTACGGGCAGCGAACTGTACGCGTAGACCTGCTACACTGAGCGTACCACTCCTGGAGCTGCCGGGGCGTAAGTGTCTCGCGTGGACGCCCCTGCAGCTGCAGCTGGCCACTGCCAGACGCTCCCAACTGACCAGCTCCAGGGCGACAGCTACGACGGCTACTGCGACAACCCCAGCTAGTATACCACTCACTAAGCTGCTGGGGCGTGAGAGGCTCGCGTGAACGTCGCTGGAGCTGCATCTGGCCACCTGCCAGTAGCAGTAGCAGCAGCAGTAGCGCGGGCAGGGCAGGCGCGGCAGGCAGGCAGGCAAGCAGGCAGGCAAGCAGGCCGGCAGGCAGGCAGGCAGCCAGGCAGGCAGGCAGGCAGGCAGGCAGGCAGGCAGGCAGGCAGGCAGGCAGGCAGACAGGCAGGCAGGCAGGCAGGCAGGCAGTCAGACAGGCAGGCCGGCAGGCAGGCAGGCGCGCAGGCAGGCAGGCAGGCAGGCAGGCAGACAGGCAGGCCGTCAGGCAGGCAGGCAGGCGCTCACCAAAGGCTGGGAGAGCAGGCGCTCACCGGGCGAGCAGGGCCGGCGCTCAACGGGCGGCGGCCGAGTAGGCGCACGACAGCGGCGGCGTCGGGGCCGCAACACCGGCTGCAGAGCAGGGCCGAAGCAGCTGCAGGGCGGGGCCGCTTCAGCGGCAGTAGCAGGGTGGGGCCGCGTCAGCGGCAGGTCGGGGCCGTGGCAGCTGCAGGGCGGGGCCGCATCAGCGGCAGGTCGGGGCCGTGGTAGCTGCAGGGCGGGGCCGCATCAGCGGCAGATCGGTGCCGAGGCAGAGGGCCGCGCGCGGCTCGGCGCGGGCTGCGCTGACAGCGCGTTCAGCTGCTGCAGGCCGCGCGCGGCCGCGCTAGGCAGTAGCGGGCCGCGCGCGGCTCGGCGCGGGCTGTTGCGGGCCGCGCGCGGGCCGCGCGAGGCAGTAGCAGGCCGCGCGCGGCTCGGCGCGGGCTGCTGCGGGCCGCGCGCGGGCCTCGCGAGGCCGTAGCAGGCCGCGCGCGGCTCGACGCGGGCTGCGTGGGCTCGGCGCGGGCTGCGCGCGGCAGCTGCGGGCTGCGCGCGGCTGCAGCGGGCTGCGCGCGGCTCGGTGCGGGCTGCGCGCGGCTGCAGCGGGCTGCGCGCGGCTCGGCGCGGGCTGCGTGGGCTCTGTGCGGGCTGCGCGCGGCTGCAGCGGGCTGCGCGGGCCTGACGGGCGTGTAGGGGCGGCGCGCGGGCCTTACGGGCCTCTAGGGGCGGCGCGTGGGCCTTACGGGCCTCTAGGGGCAGCGCGCTGGCCTAAGGCAGCAGGAGGCAGCGCTAGGGCTGCTGGACGGCGCGCATAGTGCAGCACGTCACAAGGCAAGGCAAGGCAGGCAGGTACGTGGGGTAGCGCGGTAACCGCAGCGGTAGGTGGGCCCGAAAAAAACGGTCCTACGGACCTTAGTGCTCTGAAACCATGTCAGAATCTAGCAGCAGGAATGGTTGAACTAGCAGCATGCAGGAGTACAAGTAGTAAACCCTAATTTGGGTTGTACCCCATATGGGCTACCCCACTACAGCCTAGACAATATGCAGCATATGTTTGACAGGTGTGGTGTAGGGTGCATTCAAACATTGAACACAAATTGCATGCTGGAGTATGAGAGCCCGTTTAACAACTGAAAATAAAATGAAGGGTGGGGGGAACGTAGAAGGGGGTATGACAATCTAGAAGGAGTATCAGCAGAGGAGGAAAAGAAACAAATAAGATGGACAATCTAGAAGCGCTACACTGATGTACGGTACATGTTTCGCGATCAAATTCGCAAAACTGGTGTGGTCCGCGGGGCTCGCGGGTGGTCTGAGGGGCTCGCAGGTGGTCCGAGGGGGTTTGCGGGGGGTCCGTCCGAGTGGCTTGCGGGTGGTCCGAGAGTGTTGCGCGCTGGCGTGTCAGGGCTCGATCGAGACCCGGGAGAGGGAGGGGGGCGGAACTCGCGGGGCAAGGTGAGCTGTGATTCGGGTTTTCTCCAGCAGGGGGAAACCGAATTGATGCTCCAAATCAAACCAAACCAGCGCCCAGAGATGGGCTCCCGCAGTTCCGCTGTCTTTGTCAGTCACTCCATTGTGCGCCTGTCAGATGGCGGCGAAAGCATTGCAACCAAGCGGCTTCTGTTGAACCTAGTCCGTCACGCAACCTCGCTCGATCCCTAGTTTGCTGTCTGGTGCTTGCACCCTGGTGGTGAGAGTATGGAAGTGCTTCGCGGAGGAGTATATCTATGGGCGATTCTTCCTGGGGATTAGGTTAGCAAGCAGCATGGCGGACACTAATAAGTTGAAGCTGAAGAGCTCAGACGGTATTGTTTTCGAAGTAGACCAAGAGGTAGCCCTTCAAAGCGTCACAGTGAAGAATATGATTGCAAATGCCGATGTGCCTTCTTCCAGCGAGCCCATTTCTTTGCCAAACGTCTCTGGGTGTATCCTGGTAAAGGTGATTCTCTACTGCAAATATCACGTGGATGCGAAGAAGCCTGGCACGGCGGAGAAGCCTGCAGTGACGGACGACGAGGTGAAGGCGTGGGATCAAGAGTTTGTGAAAGTCGATACAACTACCCTCTTCGACCTGATATCGGTGCGTATCCACCCTCCTGTAGTTGATGCATCATTTATTGTCCGGTCTCAGACCTAACGTCAGCCCTTTTCGCTGGAATATTTATGTTCTGCTGGCGTACTCACAGCATAATCTCCCTTGTGATTCATAAATATTTTACCAGGCTGCGAAATATCTGGACATCGACGGTCTGCTGACGCTTACATGCGATACTGTTGCTGGCATGATTCGAGGAAAGACGCCAGAGGAGATCCGCAGGACGTTCAACATAGACAACTCATACACTCCAGAAGAAGAGGAAGAAATTCGCCGCGTGAGATAGCCTTTGTGTGTGAGATAGCCTTTGTATTATGGTCCTTGGAAGATATGGTGTGGCAGTACCATTGGGGAGGAAAAGCACTGAGTTGATTGAATCATACTATATTTGTTGCTGCTTATCACAAATGGTTGATTGTGAAAGCTTGCTATTTGTCTTTGCAAATGCAACGTCTCATTTCAACTGGCAAGTACAAGATTTTTATTGTCCAAGCATATTACATAGTAACAACGATGAATTCTCTACTATACTAGGGTGGGAGGGTGGGGAACTTGAAAACTGAAAGTTTGAAATGAAAAACGTGGGTGAAGGCCAAATGGCCTTCGCCCCCTCTTTTATACCGAAAAAGAGGGGAAGTAGCGGTTCGCCGAAGCATTTTGCTTCGTTCCAATATCTTCGCTATTCACAATACACAATTTTAGAAAGTGTTACACACTTTCAAAAATTTACATATTGTGAAAGCTTGCTATTTGTCTTTGCAAATGCAACGTCTCATTTCAACTGGGTTTTCTGAGACATGGTGAGTGCTTGTTGGCGGTGTCGAGTAAGGGCACGCTCATGCTGCGAGGGGGACGGAACGTGCGCCTGATCGTGAAGGCGCCGCGACGCAGCAAGGAGGTGATCGTGGGAGATGGTGACATTAAGTGTCAGAGGTCCACTGGAGATCCCCGATGATCCTAGGGAAGGGTTACAGGCACGTCGGCCTGGGGGGTTATGGGCGCATTCACCCGCTACACAAACAAGCCCTTTTATCCCAGTGGTTAGTGGCTGGGATTCTGACATGGTATCAGAGCAAAGGTCTCGGGTTCGAATCCCGGTGTATGCACTTCGGGCATCCCAGTGCGGGGGGGTGTCAGAGGTCCACTGGAGATCCCCGATGATCCTAGGGAAGGGTTACAGGCACGTCGGCCTGGGGGGTTATGGGCGCATTCACCCGCTACACAAACAAGCCCTTTTATCCCAGTGGTTAGTGGCTGAGATTCTGACATTAAGGTCCTCCGCGGTTTCGCTCCGCCATCGCCCCAGTCTTTTGAAAAGGCGGTCCGGGATGCCCGTACTCGCTGCAACTGTTGCTGCCCCTTTGCGGAATGAATGGGTGCCGAGGTTTGTAGGGTCGATGCCGGCTGCTTGGAATGCCTGCAAGCACCACGTGCGGACAGTGGGGTATGATGGGGCGGTATCCTGCGAGGATGGCGGGAAGTTGCGTCGAAAAATACGAATTAACGGGCCTTTGGTCTTTGGCCCGTACTGTGCCAGCTTGATGAAGTGCCTGGTGCACCGCACGGGGCAGAATGGTCCGTCAGTCGCGGCAACGGGGACCCATACGCCCTTGCTCTCCTGATCGGTTTTGGAGTGCGGAATTAGGAGCCACATTGCCGTAGCCTCGAACTGGATGTCCTCCCACTGGATGGTGTCAGAAATTACTGAACAGGAATGGATGAACTAGAACAGAGTTTGGTACAAGTAGGAAACCCTAACTTTGTGTACCCCCTAAGGTGTAACCCACTACAGCCTAGACAATATAAACATGCAATGTTTGACACACCCCCATAGGCGCAGTGGGAGACAGCTACAGGGTCACAAGACCAGTCAAAGCAAAGCAAAACAAGCTCAGGGTGGATCTCAAGGATTCCACACAAATTCCGAGCACAAGCAAGCGGTCACAAGACCAGTTCACATGCAGGTTTATAACAAAGCAAGAGATACAGTGATCACAACCTAGCAAACGTAAACAAGTAGGCATATATATATAGTGATCACAGTACAAGCAAGGTCAAGAGGTAAGTAAGTGAGGCCCAGTAGGTACAAGGCCTAGCAGAGTGCAAAAGCGCTGATGGTCACAAGGCTGAAGCGCCTTGGTGAACACATCAGCAGTGTTGGCCTCCGTGGCCACGTAACGCAGACAAAGCTGACCACGCTGCTGCAGCTCTCGAGCCAGGAAGTACCGCAGAGCGATGTGCTTCGTTCTGTGCTCCAGTCTGTGCTCCTCACACAAGGCAATGGCAGCCTTGTTGTCGACGTACAGCACTGGAGGAGAACGAGGCCGCTCTCCGAGGTCGGTCAGCAGGTAGGTCAGCCAGCGTAGCTCCTGAGCGGCCATGGCTGTGGCGTAGATCTCAGCCTCACAACTGGAGCTGAGAACAGAAGAAGAGCGAGTAGAACGCCAAGAAACTGTGCCAGAGCCAAGGCTGAAGGTGTAACCCTGGGACGACCGCTGAGTAGCCTGGTCGTCTGCCCAAGAAGCGTCTGAGTGCCCTGTGAGAACAACCCGGTCTCGCCCTCCAAGCACAAGCCCCATGCCCGACGTACTGCACAAGTAGCGCAACACCCTCTTAGCAGCATCCATGTGCTCCTTCCGGTGACGGCCAGGAGCAACATAGCGTGCTAGGATGCTAAGAGGGTATGCAAGGTCAGGTCGAGTGCAGGTCATCAGGTACATGAGGCAGCCCACAAGCTCTGGATACGGGCCACTCGGCTCTACGGACTCATCCGAAGGCAGAGCTGAGAGCGAGTGACCGGTAGGCAGAGGAGTGGACTGAGGCGAGGAGTACGTGAAGCGGAAGCGCTGGAGAACCTGCTGCACCATGTGTGACTGAGTCAGGGTGATGGTGCGCCGTGCTCTGTCCCGGGTGATCCGCAAGCCAAGATAGCTCGTCAGCTCACCCAGGTCTGTGCACGTGTGTCTCCTCTGCAGCTCCGACTTCACGTGAGCGAGTGCCGCGGTGTCAGCAGTGGCAAAGACCAAGTCGTCGACGTACACGAGGATGTAGAACGGCGGGAGCGAGGTGTCGGTGCGTAGAAACAGCGACGGGTCAGCAGTAGAGGGAGCGAACCCAAGAGCCGCAAGTGTCGTCCTCAGTGTGTCGTGCCACTCACGTGGCGCCTGGCGGAGACCGTAGACCGGCCGCTGAAGCCTCCACTGGGTGCCAGGAGGAACTGACCCAGTGAAGCCAGGGGGGCGGCGCAGCCAGATCTCCTCGTGCAGGCTGCCCTGCAAGAAAGCAGTGCTGAAGTCAAGAGAGTGAAGCTCGTAGTCGCGGTGAGCGGCTATGTGCAGCAGCACCCGAAGAGTAGTCATCTTCGGGGTGGGGGAGAAGGTCTGAAAGAAGTCTACTCCCTCTCGCTGACTGAAGCCTCGAGCCACGTAGCGCGCCTTGAAAACAGGCGGAGAACCCGGCGGCCGCTTCACCCTGAAAATCCACATGCCACTGACAATGTTCGCCCCAGGAGGGGGAACCTCGTCTACGTAGGTGCCTGTGGACTTCCAGGAGGCCATCTCTGCGTCCATGGCTGTCTGCCACTGAGAGGAGTAGGGACCCGCCATCGCCTCAGCGTAAGAGCGTGGGGTCGGGATGTCTGGTGCATCCGGGTCTCCCTCAGGGGAAACTAGCAAGGACACGAGACGGGGCAAAGCAGCAGCAAGGCAGTGGAACTCCTCCTGTCTGTCCTCAAGGACGTCCGTGCCGAGGGCACACTCACCCCCGACGGACGGAGGACAGGCAGACGCAGACTCAGACCTAGCGACAAGGCTGGCAGCGTAGTCTAGGCGACAGCGAGCAGCAAAGTCAACCAACTCAGCGACCAGGGCAGACGCAGCAGAGGACTCAAAGGTCGGGTCAGTGACAACTGTAGCGAGGAGACGCGTAACAGTGGGACTGGCAGCACGACGGGAGTCAGACTCCGGGTCAGGAAGAGTAGGAAGAGAGGACGCAGGAGGAGACGGTAGCGGGACACGCTGCGGAGCAGTGGAGGGACGCAGAGTCATGTAGTGAGTGCCAGGGACAGGAGGAGGACGCTCACGTGGGACACGACGACCAGTGCGAGCAGGACGAACAGGCGACGCAGGACGAGACTCAGGCTCACGACGCTCTGTAAGACCTCCTGTGGGACCAGCGTAAGGGGAGGGAGCAGGGAGAGGCGAGACAGGCGGTAACTGTGACTGCGGCTGGACAGGCGGAGGACACGCTACGGAGGGAGGAGGACTAAGAGGAGGAGCCTGACCAAGAACCTGCTGAAGGAGCGGTACGAAGTACGGTCGCGGCCGCGCAGCGTCTCCAGAAACAGCAGGGACACCAGTGGCAGCCCCAACGCCCGAGTCCTCAGCACCAGCAGCAGCTCCAACGCCCGGGTCCTCAGCACCAGCAGCAGCACCACCGGTCGGGTCCTCAGCACCCGCAGCAGCTCCAACGCCCGGGTCCTCAGCACCAGCAGCAGGGCCACTGGTCAGGTCCTCAGCACCAGCAGTAGCTCCAACGCCCGGGTCCTCAGCACCAGCAGCAGCTCCAGCCCCCGGGTCCTCAGCACCAGCAGCAGCTCCAGCGTCCGGGTCCTCAGCACCAGCAACAGCACCACCGCTCGGGTCCGCAGCACCAGGAGCACCACTACGAAGACTGCAGCGCCGCGTGTACCACTCGCGGATCACCTGAATGGGGGGGAGCTCCTGGGTAGGAGGGGAAGTACCGGGACGAGCTCCAGAAGCACCTCTCCGGAGGCGGCAGTACTCGAGGTACCTCTCCTGCAGCTGCTGGGAGGAGAGGGCTCCTCCAGGTGGAGTACCCCCAGACTCAGCACCCCCAGACTCAGCACCCCCAGACTCAGCACCCCCAGACTCAGCACGTCCAGACTCAGCACGTCCAAACTCAGCACCACCAGGCTCCGCACCTCCAGGCTCCGCACCTCCAGGCTCAGCACCCCCAGGCTCCGCACCTCCAGGCTCAGTACCTCCAGGCTCCGCACCTCCAGGCTCAGCACCCCCAGGCTCCGCACCTCCAGGCTCAGTACCCCCAGGCTCCGCACCCTCAGACGCAGCACCCCCAGGCTCAGCACCCCCAGACGCAGGACGCGAGTCAACAGCTACCTCGACAGGCTCACCCGGGTCTACCTGGGACACACCTGAGGGAGCGGCACCCTGAGGGGGGAGGGGGTCTGGTACCTCAGCACCTGGAGCGAGGAAGAGAGGCGGGGGGGGGAGTGGGGCAGTGCGGTAGGGGAAGAGGCGGTAGAAG